GTGTCGCGGAGAACCTAACGGGTAACCGGGGCTCCGGCTCGACGTGCAGGAGAAGGAACGGGGTGGTTTTTAGTCAGTAAGAGTCTGACACTCCCTCCCGCCTCATCCAGGCGGGAGCAGTCATTCGATGATTTCCCCCCCTTAAAAAAAAAGCCCTAGCGTGTATGTGAGTATGAATAAGACAATGTGTATGTGGAGACACATGTCAAATGACAGCATGACAGCTCAAACAAAATTAACAGATGGCGTCACAAAATTCTACATCGCACATGCAAAGTTTACAAGCGAATTAACACGGATAGTAAATCCCAACGAATAACTGTCGGGCCTCTGCGGCCCCCCCCCCACTGGACTCGACCCCCGCGCCGCCATAAGCCACAGCTCGCCGGGCCCACCTGGCTAGAGCGCGGCTATAAACGGCGCAAAACAACGGACACTGCATCGGACTCCGCAAAGGGCCCGAATACTCCAACCCCTCGTCTGCAGTCGCAGGCAGCGAACAGATACCGCCGAAACAGGCATTGGCCTGGATCGCGCGACCTCGCACCCCCAGTCGGGGACGGAGAGATGACCACGAAGTGTTACTGTTGGGCAAACTGTACCTACAGTTATCGGTGCATCGGTGCTCGGTTATGCATGCACGGCTAAAACCATCATGTAAAACCTAGCGTGTATAACCTCCTTAAAAGTCCCCACTGCTGACCAAAGACCTCATATCGGACGAACAAGGTTTGAGCATTAATCGCCACGCTTGCTTAGAGTGTTGATGATTTCAAACTTATAATTAGATAATACAAGCCCAGGTTTCCTCACGATGTTTTCTTTCGCTGTTTGTCAGTGGTGTCTAGCTAGATAATGTTAGAAAGTATTTACAATTGGGTACTTGCCTTAATCAAAAATAAATTATTCCGACTGTTCAATACAATAAAATATTAAAAAAATACAAAAAAATACACAATATTAAAACAATCACACTTTCATTAATTGACTTTATGACCAACTTAATTTTAGTTTTAAATTTTTTTTTATATATTTTAAGTTGTATATATTAATTTTTATCTTGTATTGTATATATTTAATTTACTAATAGTTATTATTAATTTTAGAAAATAAAAGTTAGGTTAATTATAATTAGCTAACAGATAAAAAAAAAAATTAGTATTATTCCAGGATTTTTTTAAGAAATAACTATGCTGTTTGACGTTAAAAAAGCGTGACATCACAATACACAATCTCGTACAAAATTCATAGTAAACTGTCGGTTTTGACAGTTCGGAATAAGTATTGAATTTGGCTGTTGAGTAAACGAATAAGTGGTCAGAAGTGCGACTGCCGGGCAAGGCGTCTCGGGTTCGATTCCCAGGTCTGGCAAAGTATTACTGGGTTTTTTAAGAAATTCTCAGTAGTAGCACGGAGTCTGGAAATATGCCCGGTATATGGCAATCGGCTCACTCCCTATTACATGGGACTCTTAACATAAATAGTGAAAAGTAGGTGTTATATTGTACAGTGGAATTAAGTGCTGAAATGTGCACCTCTGCCTACCCTTTCGGTGATAAAAGGCGTGATGTTATGTGAAAGAGGTATGTAAGAATCGTAACAACTGGCGTTCCGTAGTCTCTGCCCCACCATGGGAGACTGGCGTGAGGTTAACGTATGAAGTTGTGAACGTAAAAATGTTATTTTAAAATTGTAAAATGTTATTT